ATAAAGTAGGGTTGAATTCAAATCACCTTCTAGTTTGTTTTCTAGTGTTAACAGGAAGATATCAGCAAGAATTGGTCCCAAAGGGCTACACCATCAACCTGTTTATGGGCGTTTCCATTGAAAACACCACATTCACCAAATCGTTTGGTCCAGTTCACCCCATATCAAATTTTCTCATCTTACTTGACCTCGACCCCTAACCAAACACAAATCACTCGACTCACTTGTCCAACACTTTGTTCAAATGATTCATTTCAACTCTTATTCATCTTCGTTTCACATGGTCATATANTTACAGCTGAATGAGAGCACGCGAAATTGATGGCCAATATCAATTCTGCTCGCATATATCTTCTGATGTTGATGAAATGGATAAAGGGAAACGGATGTTTTACATGTTACCCAAGTATTAGCCTCTGTCATGCTTCGACGTCTGACACCATTCAGGAAGACAAATATATAAGAAAAACATGCAGGATGTCAACCAGGTTGCTGTTTTATAGACCAAATCTTCACACTGCATTAAGTCTTCGAGCTGCACCATACACACCGTCGACCAACGGTTGGCATGTTTCTTGGCCTAAAAGGAGCCTTCATTTCAATTGACCGCGGATCCCTTATAGGTTCGCTCCTACGCAAATAAATGCAGCACAATTATGTGAACATACCGAGGGCACTGTTGTCGCATACTTCTGGTAGCGTAAAGGTCTACGGCGAGCTGAGATCGTAGCGGCGGTGTACATCAAAGGTGCTCTATTAAGCCATTTCTGTTCACTTTCGTCATGGATGAGATCCTGGATACCCTCGGGTTAAGCAGGGCTGAATGCTACCAGGCGCGTCCCCGGGTTGTGGATAGGGAAATACCTCCACCGAAGAAGGTTAACTGAATAGGTTGTGGCATACCGCAACAAATAGGCAGTGGAGAACAAACAGTGGCGGCACTACCAGGGTGTGGTGTGTTTCAAGCTTGTCACCTGGCTCCTGTTTAAAAGCCGCATGTGCCCAATGGCGGTGTCTTGACAAAGGGCGATGTGACTGGCCTGTTAAACTTAAATTCATTGGCCCGCTCACTTTCGAGGCGAGGGATTACTTCCTGCTGCTTTGCAGTTCGTAATTGGTTGTGCAAAGACTAGAGGTGCGTCCTGAAAATAAAAAACGTCGAGTGACACTGGCGACGTATCTCGTACCAAACTCCCAAGTAACTTCATGATCATGTTTTCTACGGCGGCAATCAGAGACATTCGTGGAGCCGGCTTATCCTTTCCAAGGAGCCAGCCGTAGTAAATTAAAAAATGGATGAAATACTAAAGAACGCACTAAGTGGTCTCCGAAATGTTGGTACTGAATNTCACTTTCGAGGCGAGGGATTACTTCCTGCTGCTTTGCAGTTCGTAATTGGTTGTGCAAAGACTAGAGGTGCGCCCTAAAAATAAAAAGACGTCGAGTGACACTGGCGACGTCTCTCGTACCAAACTCCCAAGTAACTTCATGATCATGTCTTCTACGGTGGCAATCAGAGACATTCGTGGAGCCGGCTTATCCTTTCCAAGGAGCCAGCCATAGTAAATTTAAAAAATGGATGAAATACTAGAGAACGCACCAAGTGCTCTCTGAAATGTTGGTACTGAATGGGCAGCTGGCAAAAAGCTGTGCGACCCACAGTACGCTGACGACATCGTTCCTCTGTTCGAATGTATGGCGAATGCTCAAAGCGCACTTGACAGACTAGTTGGTGCTGCTGATTCGTTCGATATGCGCTTTACACTTTCAAAGTGCAGACTGATGCTGCAAGACGGGGTGTCGCCGGGTTCCGTTCTGAAACTAGACCGTCAGGAATTAGTTGAAGCTGACGGCTTCTCCTACTTAGGTAGCTGCGTGACCAACGGTGGTAGCGCATCAAAGGAGATAAACAGGCATCTCCAAAGCTGGAGAAGCGTACACAGGGCTTAAACACCTGTGGCGAATAAATGAAGTTGAAAAGTTGCGTATACTGCGTCACTGCTTAACGGTTGTGAGGTCTTGGATTTGTGGGTAGAAGACATCCGTCGTTTAACGGTTTTCGACAATCGATGCTTACGTAATCTGGCCCAATTGGGATAGAGTGAGCGGGTTAGTAACTTAGAAGTAAGTCGCCGGGTGTTTGGGAATGCATCGAACACAAACTAGCAATTGTAGCGAATTGAGCTCAATAGGACCCGTCTTGCGTATATCTAACGGTCGCCTACCGCACCGCGCCCTATAAACAGTGGCAATGAAGGTCAACAGATGACGTGGAGACGATGCTTGAAAGAGTGCACAGAGCAATTAGGTAGAGTAGGTGTCTCTCGTCCTCCGGGTTGGGGTTCAAAAGACTCCGTATATGAATGTTTGAAGACACGGGAGGTCATGGCAGCAAACCGACAGCACTGGCAATCAATCTAGTGCTTGAAAATGTGTATGCACGGTTGAGCTGTGTACTCTCTTTGTTGACCATCGAGTTTCGCTTTCTTTCCGCGTCCCTAAAATAGGCCTTATCTTATTCTCCTTACACATTCTTACTTACTGTGTATGCATTATGCGTTTAGCAGCGAGCAGTGAAGTTCGCTTCACCGTATTACGCTCCAGAATGATGATGTTGACTCCTAGTAATATATGTATCTATTTTTTCAGATTTTTGTGTTCCTTTATCATTGTTTTACGGGGCACGGGATTTCAAGAGACAGAACATATAGCCTTCGCACCACTGACTTCTATTCTGGGCCATATCTCCTAGCGACTTTAGCCAACGACAATCCGCATCCTTTGGGCCCCAACCTGGAAGGCGGGCTGCAGCAACCGAAGCCAAAGCTGAAGCTAGTTTCTTCATCGCTCTACGTCATGTCATGGTCTGAC